TTTAGTTGTTTCACATTCTCCCTTCCGCACTCCATTCACACTCTCATTCATACCAAGAGGCAGGGCCGGATTAAGGGGGTGGCCACATGGGCCGCGGTCCATGGCGGCAAATCTAAGGGGCGGCAAAAATTTGCAATTTTTTAAAGTGTAGGTATAAAAAAGCGAATTTATAAAAACAAAATTACGAACGAGGAAAGGCGACAAAATCTCTCATTTCCTGAGAGTATAGTAATTTCTAATTTTGTCGTCTCTTAGTGATACAAGAGACAGCACATTTAATTATTCGAGTTAAGAGAGAGACCAAACTCGCAATTTGGTCTGGAACGGCGCGACTTAGAGAGAAATGATAACGAGGACTTGAGATGAAAAGGAGAAGCCCTCGGCGCGGCGATCGGCATGTAACACATATTAGCACCTACAAGACTGCACGAATACTTCACGCATTGCATCAAACACAGTGCGGTCATTGCGGTCAGCGTGAAACGGATAGCGCCTAAAAGAATGCATGAATACTTCACGCATTGCGCCAAACAACGTGTAGTCAGCGCGGCACGGCGGCGGAAGTTAAAATTATTATTAAACCACATTTATGTTTGTTCTTTCTTAATTTTTTAGTTAATTTCTTATAAATGAAAGGCCTTGTCCACACAGAGATAGGTTTACGGTACTTAACTTTCGCGCAAATTTCCGTGAGCTTTTGCTAGTAGTGTTGACAGGGCTCTCCCAAAAAATGTGTTCAACACGAGTAAATGCATCTTATGCACCCCTCCCCCGCTGACATGTTCATTTGATGGTTTTTATCGAGTTTCAAAACGAATGAGAAGGGGGCGGCAAAATACAGGTGGCCCATGGGCGGCAAGTAGGTGAATCCGGCCATGCCAAGAGGTTTTCAAGAAGATAAGGTGACCAGTTCCCCGATGAGAAAAAATAGTACGACATGAAGTCTGCAACGTAACTGACGGAGATACGTGGTTTCGCACTTCGACTATGGATATTCTAAGTGGATATGCTTAGAGCTTGTGGATGTGAGACTTGGTAGCTGTAGAAACGGACACAAATTTCCAAAACGATTAAATATCATTTTCGGAGATGTGGCAAGAGTGTTGAATATTTGGGCGGCAAATAGATCTCAGGTCCTATAGTCAAAGTCAAACATACGTCAATACTTGGAGCGGGATTTACCGGCGGATCAGGATCAGCGGCTGCGTCGAACAGAACCGCGACGAGCGACGCAGCGGGGCAATGCGGCTTGCGGCAAGGCGGTGCGGTACACCGCGCCGCGGTCAATCGAGCGTCCTTCCAGATGCTGGGCTTACCGCTTCGTAAACAGTAAAAAATCCCACCGACCATCACAATCAAACGCCCCGGTAAAATATGACCCCTTGGCCCTTGGGTTTTCACCTTCCTGACAGAATAGTGGCATTTTACGGGAGTCAGGAAATGCTTAAGGACCCTCAAGGTGTGTGAGAACAAAATATAATTCGAAGAGTGTACCACTGATTAGAGGCGTTACTAATGTATCAGTTGATGCAAAGAATGCTCTAACATTCCAAAAGTTCACCTTTTGTGGAAATTGTAACGTTGAAGTACGAGGAACTACAATTTGAGGCAAACGAAGATGAACTTGGCCAGTGCTATTTTAGCCTAACACTTCCGAAATATGTAGGTAAATGAACTTTGGATTTATTTAACCCAGCTGTCGGAATGAAAATGTGTCCAAATTTTCGGTACATGTACCCATGTACAGCCGATCAGCGTAATATCATTATATGAACTAGCCGATTCTTCTGTCTGATTTCAGTATGATATCATGCTGATCGACTCTACAAGGAGAACTTTTGGCTCGTAAAACCGAATTTTTGGTTCATTTTTAACCGAGCTCTCGGTTCATTAGAGTGCTACCCATGAAACCAAATCAAACCAAATCATGAAACCAAACTTTCGGCAAGCGAACTTTCTATTGTCGTAACCGAACTATTCATTTTACCGAGCTCTCAGTTTTTGACAGTGCAATCGAACTTCCGAATCATGAAACTAAACTCTCGGTTCATGCATCGGGACTTCTGGTGCATTTAATCAACCGCTGGGTGCATGAAAGTGCAACTAAACTTTCGATTCATACGACCGAAATTTCAGTTCATGTAACGGAACTTTTGTTTCACCTAATCGAACTTTCGGTTAACACGATCGAACTTTCGGTTAACACGATCGAACTTTCGGAACACGATCGAACTTTCGATTAACACGATCGTACTTTCGATTCATTTAACCCAGGAAGGAACTAGGAAGGGGCCTAGTTAAAAGAGTAGAGCGTTCAGTTTCACGAATAGGTAAATGCGATTGTCGCGGCAAAACTGTAAATCGCAATTCGAAAACCAAATTCTACAGACAATTTGAAAACCAAAATTACGACGGATTTACTCCCCATCCTCTAATTTTTTCAGTATTCACTTCAGCCTTTGCAACTGGTCCATTGGATGTGGAAATTGTCTTAGCTCGAATGGATATCGGCTGGAATCGTAGGCGGATCCAAAGGTGGAGCGAAGGGGGCGCGACCCCTCACCTCCCGTTTGCCCCAAAAAAGGAAAAAGAAAAGAAGAAAGAACGGAACAAGGAGGGAACTGGGGGAGGTACACGGACTTTATGTCCACTTTTTTTACGTTCACATTTCTAAAGCCCACACTTTTGTTAAGTCCATTACTTAAACGTCCACGAAGTTAAGTCCACAAATGTATAGTCCACTAAAATCAAATTCAAGCGTCAAATTTTAGTCCGTGTGTAAAATTATATTGACAACATCGAAATGAGAAAATTAAGAGATAATGAGGTGTTGTTATCGTAACTCATATTTTAAATGAAATGTAAATTTCTTCTTTTGATTAATCTTTTCAAATTGTCTTTGGTAAATACTTGGTTTCATTTCTATCTTGAAATTTCCGGTATAAAATATGCCTTAAATGCACATTCTTTTTTTTTAATGAAATTGATTACTTCATTTTAAAAACATTTACACTTTTAAAACGTGGTAAATATTTGTAACACCTTTTCCAAGCAATGGCATCGATATGAATCTCAATGAGCCGTAGTTGTGATGAAAGAAACTATACAAAATTTAATAAAAGAGGAGAAAAACTAAGAAGCACGCAATTTTTTGTTTTTAACTTATTTGTACATCGACTTTCTTTAATCACATACGTCCAATTTTGAGCGTTTAGTTGCGCTTACACCACGCTGCAGCACAGTAAAAGCCCAAAACATAAATGAATAAATTTGAATGCTTTGGAAATCATTATATTTGACACGGAACGACTATTATATTTACAAAAAACACATTATATTTTCCAGTAGTACATATTTCTTTTTCATCAGTTTAAAAGGGAATAATCAATGCAGAGAGTGCAAACATTTCAAAATCATGAGTTGAAAAACGCTGACTCCGCGAGTTTAAATATTAGAGCATAACACAGAGCGGAGCGGCGTGTTAGCAGCGCAGAACGCGCACTGGCGCCTACAAACCTAACAGGATACTTCACGCATTGCGCAACGCGTGAAGTATCCCGTTAGGTTTGTAGGCGCCTATGCGCGTGTAACGCTGGTTGCCTGCTGCGCCGCAACGCTTTAAGCAACTATTTCGCGTCAGAGGCGTTGCGCAGTATCCTAAAAGATTGAAGGCGCACGAAATAACTAGTTAAAGAGGACTTTCAATTTTGACTGCATCTGTTACTGAAAAATGTTTCATTTGGCATTGGAGCGTTTCCTAGGCTCCCGCTTTGGTTTTCATCTTATCATATCCGAACAGTGTACACATGAACATATGGTTTTATCTGCTCTTAGAGTCTGTTCTCTTTCATGACATGATTCATGAATGAAATGTTTTTCAGAACGAAGGTAGTAGTAGTATTAAAACAATGAACGAAGTAGTAGTATGCATTTATTTTTGAGGTGGTTCCTGTCATTTAAATGAGAAGAAAAAAATGTGGACACAACATGTTCACGATTTGGACAATTTTGGACGTATTCATGGTTGGACATTAAATCATGTGGGTGAATAAAGACTGCACTTAACGTTCAGTGGACATAAATAGCAGTGGACATTTATTTAATGGACGAAAGGTAGGTGGACATAAAGTCCTGGAAGCCTTTCGGTTAACACAATCGAATTTTCGGTTCGTTCAACCCAACGGTAGGAGGGGGCCTAGTTAAAAGAGTGGATCGTTCAGTTCCACGAATAGGTAAACGCGATTGTCGTGGCAAAACCGTAAATCGCAATTCGATAAAACTAAATTCTACAGACAATTTGAAAACAAAAATTACGACGGATTTCCTCCCCATCCTCTAATTTTTTCAGTAGGTATTCACTTCAGCCTTTTTAACTGCTCCATTGGATGTGAAAATTTTCTCTGCTCGTGTGAATATCGGCTGGCATCGTAGGCGGGTCCAAAGGGGGAGCGAAGGGGGCGCGACTCCTCACCTCCCGTTTGCCCCGAAAAAGAAAAAAGAAAAAGGGAAGAAAGAACGGAACAAGGAGGGAGCTGAGGAATGTTGAAGGAAAGACGCCTAGATTTGGTGATAATTTATGACGAAATTGGCTCGAGCTGCATGTTAGATATTTAAAATTTGAAATTTTTTGGGAAAAGCAC